TATACATACATATACATACATATACATACATCTACATACATATACATACATATACATACATATACATACATATACATACATATACATACATATACATACATATACATACATATACATACATATACATACATATATATACATATATATATATATATATATATATATATATATATATATATATATATAATTATTATTATTATTATTATTATTATTATTATTATTATTATTATTATTATACACAAGGTCTGGATATGAGGTATTCTGCAATCTGATTAGTTCTCTACTAGCAGGATATTAGCTCATATCCTGCTAGTAGAGAAAAACAAAATGGCGGCTTAAACTGAATTTCCGACGTTTGCGAACGAGAAAACGGCAAGTTGTTCGCTTTTATTACCTTTACAAGATTAAAAAACAATGAAAAAACTCCCACAAATTGTTTACAGGTTAGCAAATGAATTTTTAAAATTTAAAATGGTTAAAAATATATATTTTTGAAAAAATAATCCGCCGAAAGAGCGAAGATAAAAACATATAAAACATAGAGTAGAAACAAAAAAACATTTTAAGTAATATATGTGAGATATGAGATATGAAAATATATATAGAGGATATTACACGGCGGCACGAAGATATGACTGTTATCTTCGAGTGGTGAAAACTATATTTTACGAACGAGCGCAGCGAGTGAGTAAAATATTGTTTTTAACACGGGAAGATAAAAGTCATATCTTCAAGCCACCGTGTAATGTTCTGTTTATTATATAGTCCCGGCCCATGCCAAAAATTGTGAAATTTCACGCTCCAAAGCAAATTGGAAAAAGTCACGTGATCGATATCTTCACTAGTGAAGATATGGAAAATATCTCACTGTGTATTTTTCAGTATCTCACTCTCTACTATATAATAAATTGATATTATGAAGCCTGCTCAATACTTTATACTGCTCAATACTTTTCTTCAATCGCCCAGACAAAATTAAATGGACCATTCTAAAGCATTCGAAACGCCAGCTTCGTGGGAATTATTATACCGCGGATGCGAAGCACAGGTTGCACAGCAGGACGCTTTGTTAAGCCCTGATTCCACGAGCGCTTTTTGTCAGCGAAATGCGAATTATTTCGCCTGTTTCTTTTGAATTGTGAGCAATCAAGTAGAAATAATTTATTCGAGTGGTCGCAATAGCTGTTATCGTAATTGAATACGTCTATGCTACGGACCAGCGGTATCTGCATTATTTTAACATCGAGACGAGGCTATAGGGTCATGTTTTGGGTTTTCTGACCCGTTAGCCTCGTTTTCGTGCGTACTTCCACTGAGATACCGCTGGTTCGCCGCAGCGGCGTATTCAATTACGATAACAGCTATTCAAAAGAAACAGGCGAAATAATTCGCATTTCGCCGAGAAAAAGCGCTCGTGGAATCAGGGCTTTATCAATTTTAATTTGTACCAGTAAAAAGAAATTGGACAAAACAGACTTTAACCAATCAGAATCGAGTGAAATTGAGTGATATGTTACATGCATATAGACGTTATCGGGAAAAGCGTCAATCGGATATTAATTAAAATAATTATGGCTCAAAAACCACGTCCATGCATGCATGCACAACGTATATGTAGCCGAGTATTCTTACATGAGTATAAATATAATCTTTCGGCTTCGGTATAGTCGAAAATTTACAGTCAGAATTTTAAGATGACTTTATTCTTAATTCGTATAGGTTTTCGTACAACTGGCTCTTTTAATGATATATATATAGTTTGCAGACCTTCTATATAACAACTAACGATGCTTATTTTAATTATGTATATCATATATAGATGTCATTGAGACGGTTATATATATAGGCAAATGGCCCCCCTCGATGGACGATGCTTATAGATATCCATTTATGACAGTACAAATGCATGTATCGCAAGTTTTGATTCTGCCTATTTTCAATTTCAATGAACTTAACTTGAATTTTAGTAATTTCATATAATAGCTATACATTTACACATACAGGGCTGGAAGAAATAGTCGAGCACCGCGTGCATGGGAAATGTTTTATACAAACAACTGCAGCAAGTTTGTATACAGCTGCGGATTGATAGGAATACACAAGTACCTGAAAAATACAAGGAGAATGTCGACGTTTCGAGCAAAGGCCTGACTATACTACTTCCCGACGAAGGGACTTCGCTCGAAACGTCCAAGTTCTTCTTGTATTTTTCAGGTAGTGTATTCCTATCTATTCCCAGCTATCCTATTATTGCCACTACCTATATATACTGGCATAAAGCGTTCAGGAAATTTGTTAGTTTGAATAGAAGAATTTGCAACTTTAAAATTTGAAGTAAACGCTAACACGGATATGTTCCGCTTGTGACTTGACTTGTTAACAATTTTGGGGCCAGTTGTTCAAAGCTGGGTTAGCATTACCCGAGGTTATACTTATACCTAAAATTCAAAGCAAACTTCCTGACAGCTTAATTGTCTATAAATTTGGAAATAATTCTTCAGATATCTTGTCTGGATCGATGGGGTTTTACTTCTCTGAAATTTTGAAATAAACAGACTTGCAGAACTACACAAACTAAACCTTTGTCTTTGAACAACTGGCCCCAGTATTACAGTTATACATCAAAATACATGGCAACCGTTATCTGACTACCTCAACAACTGAAAATATTCGTCATTAACATTCACCCGGCAAATCGTAGCGTGTAAACGCATTCGTGCATAAAAATATTTATCAAATTTAACCAAATGCAAATTGGTGTTTGTATTTTGATCTGCGGGGCTTCAATCAAATTACTACACTCAAAATTTGAATTATACTCGACATGTTAGTGGACATTTTGTTTTACTCGCAAGTTTGCTTAAAATGTTTTTTGCTCACGACGCGTCAGTTTCATTTTTGACAACACATCAGTATACAATTTGGTCCAAAATAAAACCATTTGGGGACACCTTGTCCTTATGCTTTTTCCAATTAAACGGAGCAGTAGGCTATTTTTTAATAAAATAAAATAGCCCGCTACTCCGTTTAATTGGAAAACCAAGGTGTCCCCAAAAGGTTTTATAGTTTTTACCTATAGTATATAATAGATCATTAACAATTAAACAAAATATTTTTTACAAAAAATTCTGTGATGCCATTTTCTTTAATGCCGGCGAAGTGACGTTTTCTTTGACAAAACTTTTCTGGCATTCCAGATTTTTTGTGTGAGAATTTATGTATTGAACCAACCACCTTAGTTCAGTAATTGATTTCAATATTCTTGTTGGAAAATAAAATAATAAGAACGATCAACGGTCGCATCAAGCACTTATTATATAAATACCCCCTACATCATAAATGCATTCGTTAGTATATCAGACAGTCAACCTAGAACATATAATGTATAGCTGTTATATATATAC